CCTCTGGGGGCGCTCCCGCCCGCGGCCGCCCTGGCCCCGCCAAGAAGAAGAAGCGTCGGGGTGCCCGACCCACTCCGACCATCCCTCCATCCTCGGGTCCGGGGGCCCCCTCCGCTCCGGGCCCCGTCTCCGGTCTTCCTCGCCCCCCTTGCTTCAACTGTGGGGTGAGGGGGCACTCCCAGGTTGCCTGTGTCAACCCCCAGTGCTGCTACCTCTGCAAGGATCCGGGCCACCCCGCCATTCTGTGTCCGGACAGACCGGTGGTGTCCGAGCTCATGATGTATGGCCACGGCATCGAGGGGTTGGGCTTCTTCCACCTTGAGGTCCCGGATGCCCCTCCGCCTTCGCCCTCCCTTCAGGCGATCGTCACGGTCGTTGACGGGGTGGCCTCCCCGGAGATGATCGAGGCCGAGCTCAACCACCTCTACCGTTGTCAGTGGGACTGGGTGGTTACCTCCACCGCCAGCCACATCTTCTCCGTCGTCTTCCCCGACTCCGTCAGCTACGGCTACGGCACGCGTAGTGGCCGGATCACCCTCGCCCTCAACCAGCTGGTGGTTGAGATCTCCGAGCCTGTTCTCGACGCCCAGGCCGTGGCCGTCCTCGACACCGCTTGGATCCTCATCTCCGGTCTCCCTGACATCGCGCGGTCAGAGCTTGTCATCCGCCAGATGTCTCGCCTCTTGGGCAAGGTGGTGGTGGTTGATGAGCTCTCACTGCGCAAGGAGGAGGAGGTCAGGGTCAAGGTCAAGTGTCTCGACTCCACCAAGCTGCACACCTCGGTCCGGGTCTTCTTCAACGACCAGGGCTTCGACCTCAGGATCGCCCCCGAGCCGCCCAACCACGTTGGACGCCCCCGCTCCCTCGACGTCGGTCCCCCAGACGACTTCCGGGGGGCCGGCGGAGACTACCACGGCCGTCACCACTCGCGCTCCCACCGCTCTGACGAGGAGGGGGAGTCCGAGGACTCCCGCTCTCCTCCTCCCTCGCCCCCCCCTCCGGCTCCGGGGGGCAAGGGCCGCCAGGCCGCCCCAGGCCCCTCCGCTGATGACCCCCCGATCCCTGACGGGTCGTCGTCCGAGGGGAGCGACATCTCCAGTGTCGGCCTGGTGGTCTGCCCGGCCTCCTCTCCGCGCTCCCCCATCTCTCCCCCGACTCCGGAGGTGGCTCCTGTCGACCCGACCGGCGGCCCCATCCCCTCCGCGTCGGCGGCCCCTGAGGGTGGGTCGCCGTCTCCTGCGGACGCCCCCCCTCCGGCCTCGCCTCCCCCAGCCTCCATCATCTCCTCGCCGCCTGACGCCCCCTCGGCCC